ATAATAATTTAAAAGCTGATTTTTTGTTTATTTAGTTTTTAAAACTTTAAAAAATTATAATCAAGTTTATTTCAAAAAAATTGATATAAAATATTATTTATATTAGTTTCTAATTTATTAATATTGGACCTATGGGTCTATAGTACAGTAGTTAATACTCTATAGATTAAATCACAAGATATAAGTTCAATTCCTCCAAGGGGCTAATGTGATTTCTCTAAATACAAAACCAAAGCAGGTAGGATCTGCATTTATTGGCGTAACTGTAAATTAACTGATGTTTCTGAAGTATAAATATTGATCATATGAAAAATTGTAATCGGATTGAATATTCAAAATCAGATAGGATTATTCTTGATACAACCATATTACCAAACTGGTAATAAGAAGAGTAGATCCCAAACCAGTAATATATCACTGATAGTTAAAAAAGAAGTTTATGTGATTCGATAAGGGTGAATTAAAACTATTAGTAAGCTTTCTGTCCAATCAAATACATGGCTATGCCATAGTTTCACAGATTTTACTATTGGGAGACCTTGGTGGAAAGAGAAATCTGCAGACCACTCTGAAGGATCAAAAACTAGGGTTTAGGATACTGTAATCAACGATCTGATAATTAAACTACTCTTAGATAAAATTGTTCTGGAAAAAATTAAGAAGGATTTGTATATTTTTCTGAGTTTAATAGGGATTTTGTTTATCTCTTTTAAATAAAGTAGTGATTATATATAGCATTATATAGAATAGATATATAACTACTCATATATAGATAGATCTATTATAAATATATATATATATCACTTGTTAATATATATAACTTAAGGTATATTATAGCAGTATATAAGTGAAAGACTTGTAATATAATATTGTTATAAAATGTAGGCAGCTATAAGCATATAATTAATAAAAGATGTGGCTACATGGACATGATCTTATATATGATATAATCTTCCTTCTGTAATAACATGGATTCATAGTAGAAATGTTAGTGATTTACACAATATCCAAGTCAAATACAACACTAGAAGAAGTCATAAATAGCCAATGGCATCACAAATATAGAAAATAATTGGAAAAAAATAGAGTAATGTTTGTATACCAATGTATCAACTATCAAGATAACAAATTAGCAACATGACAAGAAATTACATTTCTGAATCAACAATCCAACAAGTGCAAATCCAAATGGTATATAGAATTGCAAAACAGTATAGCCATGCTACAAATAATTCAAAACAGAAGTTACAAACAAAACATATCCAAAACAAACTATAATCTAGCAATAGAAACAAAACCCAAAGATATCAAGTGAGTTATATATCAGAAAAATGATACATATATTATTGACAAAAAAAGGAAATATAATAAAGAACTAATAAAAATTCAATACTACAATCAAATAAACAATAATTTACTACTACAAGAATATAATGGATGTGATCTTAATACATATATTATATCAGGAGAATGTAGTTTCTCAGTGGTACCCAACAGTCTAATATGTATATCAGTACACAAAAGTCGCATCAGTACCAAAGACAATACAGACAACAAACTACAATACAAAGTCAGAATATCACTGGATAGCCTCTACTCAATAATCTTAAACAAATTTATAAGGCCTCAACACACTCCACTTTCAAAGATACAGATGGATCAAATTCTAGTTCACATATAAACAATCAACGAATACATCAATATATCTAGCAACATATTACAATAACTTGTTATCATCAAATCCATTCTCAACTACTATAAGCCTATTACCATATATATGAATGGTTCACTCAATAGATATAAAAACATGAATTTTGCATAGCATATACTTAACTGTCCTAATGTAAATTTCAAAAGAAGAATCATATTATTCTTTTCATCTACCAGAGCCAAACTGGCAGCTATAGCAACAGCTTTAATCACCATATCAGCAGGAAACAATATAATGATATACAGCAATAGTCAAGCAGCAATCACAACAATTAACAAAGCAATTACAGACCCGAAATATCTAAGAACACTACAAAACAGCAATATTATCAATACGATTATATATATTATACAATCTCAAAAGATCAAAGTTACATGGGTTAAAGTTAAAGTATATAACAATAACTCTAACAATAATCGAGCAGATTGGATGACAAAAGAAGTCTGCCAAGAATCAAAAAATTATATAGACTTTAAACCAGTCAATCATCAACTTTTCAAATGGATACCTCAATGAAACAAACAAATTCTAAACAATACAATAATCAAAACAATAAAAAACATTATCAGAATAAAATATATTATTGACTAAAGGATGCTAAATCAAAATACAAATATTTTAATACTAAATACAATTAATCAAATTGCATAGCTACCAATACTCAAGTTCAGATAGCTATCAAAACTTACAACAGAAAATACAAATAATCAAGACTACAACACCAGAAGTTTTCACTTAAAACTGTGGAACTTGAAATTGCCATCCAAAGACAAATTATATACACAATCTACTACAATATATATAGACAACATATATTCAAAATGTAACAAAGATATAGAAACTAACACATATATTATGATTTGTGATAACAATCAAATAAATATAATTAATACTATCAAACAAATAGTTAACAAGAAAATAATAAGCAAAGCAACAGAAAAAACAAGATCATGAATACATCAACAAATCACCAAGCATATATAAAACTGGATAGAAGAGATGTTAAATTGTATAATGAGAGGAGCATTAATCAATAGAATTATCACAATTATCAAAACAAATATAGCTCCAACAATACAAAAAAAAATCATACAAAGTATTCTCAACAAAATTTTTCAAAATCTGAAAAAGAATTGGATACAAAGAAATGAACAATTCATAAAATAGAAAAAAGAAAACAATATTACACAACAAGACAAATGAAAATGGACAACCAACAAGAAAAAAGTGACACAACAAAAAACAAATATACCAGGGATCAATTCAATTATAAATTATGCAACACATAACTGGATCAACTAGGACATACTATATAGTTTTAAAATTTTTTTTAATAGGGATTGGTAGAGCCTTGGCAGATTAGTCAAAGATATATCAATAAATTTCTTTTGGCAATAAGCCACATGGTAAGGGTAACCTTTAGTGAGTTTAAAGAATAGATAGAGTTTCAAAGTTTGTAGTCTACAAATTTGTACATACTCAAAACAATATTCAATAAACAAGATGTAAGCTACCCATTAAAAAAAAAAAAAAAAGTTTATCAATATGGATAAAATTGTTAATTCTTTGTTTTATTTTTTTTTAACCACTTATTTACATAAGTCCAGATCACAATTCAAAATCCATGTCAAATTTTTTTTTTCACTTATCACTATCAAGTAAGCATACATATACAGGTATAACGGTATTAATAATTAATTGTTATTTCTTCTTTTTTTCGTTATGATTAAACTTACTTTATGTAAAGATCATTAATTTAATGGTATCAAACAAAAGTTTAATGATAATTTATGTATTTAAATGCTCATAAAAAAAACCCCCAATTGTTCTGATATTAAATACTGTATTTTAAAATTTTAAAACAAAAGTTCAAATCGATTATACTATTAATATTAATAATAATAATATTATTATTATCTTATAATCGACATTTGATTAATTTCAACTATTGGATAATGAGTGATTACAATGTTATCGCGTTGCGATTGATTGGATTTTATATTGTATAGAAAAAAATATGCATTTTATAAATTGACAAGTCAAATAAAAGTGCGACATTGATTTTTTCAACCATTACACGACATAATCTGTCGACATTAATTAGTGTACCATATATAAAGATTTGTTATTATGTAAAAACGTATATTTCGATATCGTGCGTGTTTAAAGAAAATTATACGCAATACGGAAAATTTGATTTTAAACATGTCCGAAGCAACTCCAAGGCGATTTTCCATGCATGAGATAATCATTACTATATGCGTCCTCTTCGGTTTTTCATTATTAAATAGGGTATTTTTAATTAAACCATTTATTTAGCAATTCATATATTTAGCATGTAAAAAATATTTTGAATTTTAGTTATCGCCAACTTTCGACAAGCGAATCTTTTTAAACGCATTCTAAGTTTTTTTTTTATCAAGTGATAATTTACGTATTTCGAAGGAAAAGTCCAAAGTTTTAGGACTCTTTTGTGTTAATAAGACATGGCTTCGAATTTCCAAACAATTATCTAATGGAGAATCAAGACAGAGCCAATTAATTATGCGTGTACACACAAGCTAACCGCATAAGGTTGTTAGGTCGCCAATTGTATCTGACCATAACATACTACTGTATGTTTTATAGTATTTACTTTTCTTTCAATTTACAATACAATTCAAATACCAGGGTTGCAATTTGTGGTCTTAAAATTTATCTGTCTGCCTTTGAAAAACAATAATCAAATCATAAATTAGAAATCAATTGTGTTAGATTGCACAGACATCTAATCCGTTTCATATTGAATAAACTGTTGTGATTCATTCATTACAGATATGAAAAATGAGGAGTAAGAAAGAATTTGACCAGTGACTTGTGTCTTTGTTTTGTGTAGAAATACCTGCTTAATTAACGCTATCAATAAGATTCCTGATTATATGTATCACGAAAATTTTCTCTTTCCTTTAATAGCATAAAAATTAATTAACCGAATAATGTTTTAATTTACTTATAACGTAATATGCTAAATTGTTGTAATACATCTTATGAATGGACGGATTTGAGGCGGCGCGAATGTATAAATATCAAGAGCATGAATTTATTCCTCACATCACTTTACGATTCTTCTTTTCTTCTCTTTACTCTCTTTTTAAAAAGGATCGCTAGCCGACCTTAAGAGAACTTTACGTACAAAATTCACCTCCTTCCCATCTAAACATCAACATCATTTCTTTCTCTTATATTTAGTCTTATATTTACATTTCAGCTTTTTTAAAAGAATATAATTATGATTCTACCACGTCATTCCATGTTATTCATTACAATCGCGGCAATATTCCTTTTCATAAGCCCAATTCAATCCTACCCATCTCCTCAAGAATACGCAGAACGGCGTTCTGCACAAGTATTTACAGGAGATGGCACTTTTTATGATCCGGGATTGGGTGCTTGTGGAATTACCAGCTCATCAAATGATTTTATTGTTGCTCTCGTACGTATTTATGAAGTTTGCTATTTATGAAATTTTTTAATTGTTTTTTAAATAACATTTAATTGATTTATTAGAATAAAGAACAATTTGATGCATTTCCTGGAAATCCAAATTTCAATCCCTTCTGTGGTAAGCAAGTGGATATTTCATTTGGCGGAAAAACAATTACTTGCACAGTTGTCGATAGGGTATGTATTTTATTGTTATTTTTGTTATTTTTCTCAACAGAACTGAGATTTTACGCAGGTTTTTCTAATTCTCTTGCCTGATAATTTTAAAGTGCGATGGATGTTTATTTGGATCACTTGACCTGTCACCTGCTGCATTCCAGTAAGCATTCTTTTTTTTTTTTTTGGAAAAAAAAAAAATCTTTTTATGCAAACCAAGATATATTCTAATTTACTACTCTCCAACAGGGCCCTGGCGGATCCAAGCTTAGGCAGAATAAAAATTTCCTGGACATTTTGCGATGGAAATGGTCCACCACCTGACCATGGTCCTGACGGTCAAAAACATCCTGATCATGGTCCTGACGGTCAAAAACATCCTGATCATGGTCCTGACGGTCAAAAACATCCTGATCATGAAGACGTTCCTGATACAACCACCACTCCCGATATTACCCCTGATACTACTCCCGATGTTGATGCTACCACCGACGATTCCACTCCAACTACCACCACTATCGATGTCGAAGTCGATTCTACTTCGATCACCGCCACTACTACCACTACCGAAGTTGATGTCAATCCTACCATTACCACCACCGCCGATGTCGATGTCGACACTATCACTACCACCATTCCCACAAATGAACACCAAACAATTCATAAAATTCATAAATTGAAGCATAAAAAATCAAAGCATAGACATAAAAAACATAGGCATCATCATCATAAAAAACATAGGCATCATCATCATAAACACAAAAACGTGCACAGATCGTGAATAGTTAGGTGCATGTAAAAAAATTTTTTTGGGTCCATTTTTTGTCAATGTTATCGCTTTCCCTAAAGATTATAATGTACATTTATCTGAATTGTTCCAAGTAATTCAGGAATTAAAAACAATTGAATAAATATATTATTGATATCTTTAAAAAAAGTTACGCATTTACTCAAAAAATACATTTTTTATATAAATTGCGACAGATCATTCAATAAACTTGGTAATAAATTGTGGTTCAAATTAATTATTTTAACACAATTACTTTGTACTTTGCTATTTAATCTAACCTGAAATCTTGTCTGAATATTTTTTTGAGCAATTTAACCCATTTACAATTGATTCAAATTAAAACACTATCATAATACAGTATACTCCAAAAACAAAATAAGTTATATAATAATATAATAACTTTGTAAATATACAGTATATGAAATTTGGCGAAATATAAATTGAATCTTATTATTATTTTTTTATTTTTTTTTATTTATTTTTTTGTTTTTTACACCTAATCAGGCCATATATTCAAGTTTATTATTCCAAATGGTATATTCGGATTGACCTGAGGTACAAATGGATAGATACATAGAGTGTTTAACAGATCTATACTAAGGATTAAACTTATTTCTTTATATAGCACACCTGTCAACAGCCATAGGCCTCTAGATGTGATTAAGGGGAATGAATAAAGTTGTTCTATCTTGATCCATGTTCCTTGTGAATCTCAATATTATTGCCAGTCCTTTATCAAGACTGTTCACTCCAACTTAACCTCTGTGGTTCTAAGATATAAAATTTTTATTTTTTTTTTGTGAAGGTAAAAGGGAAAAGTAAAGAGGAAGGAGAAAAGTTTGTGCTGGTAAAAGAAAAACCCCAACAAAACCAATCACTAGTCTAATGAGAGCCTTCTTTAATCTTGAGGAGAAAAGAAACCAGTATAAGAAGAAAGGGAGAAGACTTCCAAACATTTCTTAACAAGAGAACACTTCAACACCTTGCTTTTTCACTTTATCCAATTACATTATCGATTATAATGTGGTACGACGTGAGGCACATATGGGTACATGTTTTGTTTATGTTTCTTTTAATTGCTAATCAACCAATCCAAAATTTCAACCAATCACCATCCAGAGTTTTTGGTGTAACAAAAAATTCAGGGTCAAACCGAGATAGGCAAAATTTCCCAGAAAAATCAAGAAAATTAAACATGCTTGAAAGTGTCAACTACCAGACATGTATGAATTATATATGTAGTGGAATTGAATTCAATCATTTTTCAAAAACCGTATTATAGTAGAATTACTAAGTAACATATAGTAATTAATTGGAATTCGTATTTAATTCAGAATCGTATTATCAATCAAATTTCCTTTTATAGTAATACGATCACATGTATGGTATGAATGGTAAAAGAGATTTATATACCTGGGGTTTTTCAGCTTATCCACCTGCCTGAACCAAAGGAGTTTACTTACAGTGGATTCAAGATTCTCATGTTACTTGGTAATGCATTCACTTGTTGGCCCAACTAGTTTATCCACCCACCTTGGATAAAAGGTATTCGCTTATGGTGAACCCAAGATTTTTATGGATCTTGGGAAATGTATTTACTAGTGGTTCACTTTCTGAAATTCTTGACCTAAAGAGAAAGTAGTGGAGAGTATTTTTCTATAAGTTTCTTCTTCCCAGTAAGGTATTCTTATCATAAATCAAATGGATAAAGTTTTGTTTATTTTGTTACTAAAATACCCAAAGTTTTTCGAAGAAGGAGAAGTAAACAAGTGGAGGAGGTACTTGCCTTCAGGAAGTAATATTTTTAAGGAAAGTATGTAGACTTTATTATCAAAAATAAAGAAATATTTTTGAGAACGTCTGTTTTTTAAATTGGCAAAGGGATCAGTGAAAAGAGTTCCTTATTATTATTTATTTATAATATTGATAACACTTTTTTTATAAAATTAAATATTATTAAGTACAGGATATATAGTATATCAGTGAAAGTTTTTTAATAATAATAAATTTGGATTTTTCAAACGTTATTTTGTATTTTATTACATAAGATAAATTTGGATTTGTAAACTAATTTACATTTGTATCTTATCATACATTTTCATTATTTTATTATTGATATTATATATGTTTTCTGTTTTATCATTATTTATAATTTATTAAAATTTTAACAATAGTTTAAAAAATTTTTTCAAAATTTTAATAATATGCATTGCATATATTTTTTAATATTGATTTATTAATATCCTTCAATCAATTAATTATTGCAGAGTTTTTTTCAAAAAAATTTTTTTTGAATAAAAAATATTAATAAATTTTAATTTAATCTAAATATATAATAGCAAAAATTAGCATGTTATTAGATAATACAATGGATTGTCAAAAGTTTATAGACACTTTTTAAAACTCAGTAAAAAAGTTTTTTAAATAAAAAAAAAATTTTTATATGATAAAATATTTATATGTTGACTATATTTAAAAATTTTACTTAAATAATCAATATTTTGTTGGCCTCCCCCAGCTGCAATGCAAGCCATAATGTGACGTGACATACTTTTGATTAATCACTAACAATCTTCTAGACTTATCTCATCCCAACATCTTTTAATATGTTGCTCAAATTCTGTTAAGTTTTAAGATGATATTTAATTGTATACCAGAGATTTTCAATAGGATTAAGATCTGAACTTTGCGAAGATCAGTTCATAACCTTAATATTTTTTTCAACAAAAAACTTTTTTGTGATTTTTGTAGTGTATGGTCTTGCATTGTCATATTGAAACCAAAGCCGATCTGTATCAATCCAATTCGGCGTGAGAAAATTATGAAGAGTTGATAAAAGATTCTTCTCAAGAGTTTCGACATAGGATTTTTCTAAAAAAACGGTAAAAAAAAAATTCATTCGTTTTCATTTTTTTTTTTTTCGTTTTCATTTTTTTTTTCTTTTTTATTTTTTTTTTATTTTTTATTTATTTTTTATTTTTATTTTTTATTTTATTTTTTATTTTATTTTTATTTTTTTATTTTTTCTTACCTGTAACTGACCGATCAAGGGGAATGAGAGGGCCAGTGCTGAACCATGAAAAACACCCCCAATGTATTCAACTCAGGCTATGGCTAACCATAACAGAAAGACAGTCGATGTCCCACTTCTCATGTGAAGTACGCCATACATGACTTTTACTTTTTTGTTAAAATTGAGAGAATATTGATTCGTCATTTCAAATTACCTTCTTGAAATCATGAATAGATCAATCTTTATGCTCAAGATATTAGATAAGCCTTTCTTCGATATTCTTTTTGGAAACAAGTGATTTAGAATGGGCAACGTGAGATTTTAACTTCTTATAATGTAAAGTTCAACAAATTTTTCTTTCGAATACTTGAATTTTTGTTTTTGATATAAAAAGATTTGTTAATTCTGTATTGCACAAAAACTAATTTTTTTTATTAGTGACAAGTTTTTTAAGAGTGATATGGGTGTGATCGTCAAGGAGTCATGGTCGTCCAGTTTGGAGTCGTGATTCCATAGATCCAGTTTTAATAAACTTGTTTATAATATTACCCATAACTGATTTTATATATCCAACGTGAGTTGCAATAGTATGATACGAATCTTTTCTTTAAAAACCATAAATTATAGCCAATTTTTGTTCGGGTGTTAGTTCTTTTCTCATGCCCATATTAGCGATTATATGAAATTTAGAGAGAAAAATATAAGATAAATAAAAAAATTTTTTTTTATTTTATTAAAAAAAATTTTTTAATTGGAAATATTAAATAAATATATAATTGACCTGTGGGTCCATAGCACAGTGGTTAGTGCTCCGCAGGTCAGATCACAAGATATCAGTTCAATCCCATGTGAAGG